TCCGCACATACACAGCATAATAAAACGTACAGATCATACAAAATATATACAAAAACTGCAGATAAATGCATAATTTAGAAAGACATCTAAGTGAGGATAATCAACCGGACACTCAATTATCATCCCAGCATTAACATAATCAGAAATACACTGTAAAAGGTGCACAGACAAAACAAATGGTTGTACACATATAACTGCAGATGTCCTTTTTGTTAGTGCACCCGAAAAAGTACTATTATAAAGATACAGGAAGTCATCTCCTCATTGAGACCTGGATGTGTCACTGTTTTCAGAGTAAGTTTCTCTCTGTGATCATGTTTTCAGTCCGTCTCCACCTCTGACAGTGGATAATTGAGATTTTGTGATATATTTGTGACATATTTGTGTTCAGCGACTCTGTCTTTGAGTCTCCTTTAAGTTTGTCCGACATAAAAACATCCGCAGATGAAGTCATTGCAATCGGCGTAATGTTCTTCAGGAAAAGTTCTGAATCTTGTGGAGCATTGGAATGATTTAGATTTGTTTGTTTTAGGGCAGTGAATACATTACTGCGGCAGAAAGGTCCGAAGTCCTTGAGCGAGCAGGTAGTTTTTGAGCAGCTTGTCTTTTTAAACAAACCCATTGAGAGTTGGAGGACACTTGCTTTTGTATAATGTGAATATTGCAATGTAAAAGTATCGAAAAAAGAAAAAAAGGTATATATATATATATATATATATATTTTTTTTTTTTTTTTTTTAAGCTATACTTGAAGAAAAAAATATGAATTGATGATATATGGCTACATCATCTGTAGAATGTTCATATTGATTTTATTAGATGTAAAACAGATAAAGTACGATTTTTACTAAAATGTGCTTTACTTTAATGTTACACATGACACTTTATCCATTTATCTTGAAATAAAGTGTATTTTTTCACTTAATTTATGCCATTAATATAAGAACAGTATTGTAGGAATATTTTTGACCAATATATTGATAAGTGCTGCATGGTAATATTGTGAGATAATCGTTATCGTGAGCTTTGTATCGCACATTGTATCGTGAAGTACCTGAGGTTCCCACCCCATCCATCCATTTTCTTCCCCTTAGTCCATTTCTGGGTCGGGGGGGTGGCAGTCAGAGCTTCACCCAGTACACAGAGCACCAGCCCCTCCCTGATCCTCCTGCAGGTGGTGAGTCCACAGGAGCTGAGATCTTTCAGTGGGGGCTTCAGGCAAAGTGGGGTTAAGTGTCTTGCCCAAGGACACTACGACAGCAGTCATCAGTGGGAGTCGTGAAGTAAGTAAGTAAGTAATCTTTATTTGTATAGCACCTTTCACAGGCAAAGGCCACAAAGTGCTTCACAACACAGTTAAAACATCACAAAATTAAATACAATATAAAAAGGGTCAAAACAACACAGAAATCGTATCAGCCCAAAAATAGCTAATTAAAGGCTTGAACAAATAAATGAGACTTAAGATTGCTTTTAAAAGTATCAACAGAGTCAGTAGAGCGCAAAGAGGGCGGAAGATCGTTCCAAAGCCTGGGAGCAACAGCCTGGAGCAAGTAGGTCTTACGGTGGGCTTGAACCCATGACCTTCAGGCTCAAAGGCCAATGCTCTACCAACTGAGCGACTGTCGCCTCAACTGTTGCCAACCCTATCTATCAAATGACTCAGTAAATCAATAAAAATAAAGAATAGGTTCTTTTCTCACCAGAGGAGCCGCAAAAACAGGCGAAGTGTCGGGTCACTCCCAAGGAATTCTGTTTCATGATCCTTTTGATATTGTTAGTGTGATTGTCATTTCGCAGAGAGCAGAAAATCCTGTTGCTCTTTTTCTTGTGGATTTATCTGTTGAAATAGCTGTAGAAAAGGGTGGGGTGTCTATAACTCTTTTTTATCACCCGTGTACATGGGTTTAGTCTGTGTTTCAAAGTCAGTATCGGAGTCACAGATCCTGAAAACAAAATACAGTAACAATAAGCAGTATGTATGTACACGGCCAAACCCCAGCAGGTGGATTGCATCAGTTAATTGTGCATCTGTCAAAGGAGAAGATTCTGGGATTGCAATTTGTTTATTCGACCACTTCCCTGTACATTACACTCTGGCCAATCAGACGGCATTTGGCCATAAGTCCCGCCTCTCTGAAAGAATGTGTCTTTGATAGTTTTGATAGTCATTTGAATCAATGTTGAGGTCCTGGATTTTAGTTGAGAAATTCTACTTTTATAAGGGTTCGATCCCCTCACGACCTCGGAAGAAAATGACATGACAATATGACACTTCTGGTTTTAGTTTTAGTTATTGGGCTGTAAGTTTCATTGTGTCACATGGTATAAAGTCATGAATGGCATAGTTTCATAAGCGGTGCTGAACCATAATCCTTTGTTGTCGCTCTGTCCCATCAGACAGGTTTCTAATCCCTCTAAACGATGACACTAATCCTGACGCTGGTGAAAGCTCATCCTGCACTGAAGGTAAAAGGAGAGGGGAGGGGGGCGTGGAGAGGGAGGGGGGCTGTGGAGGGGGGGTCAAGTCTGTCCCAGTGGCAAATATGTAAGGGATTATGTATATTACACAGGTCATTATCGGTGTAGTAATAATAATGACCTGTGTACTATACATTATCCCACTTATACGGCTTTGTACAAACAGAACACACAAAATAAACTTCAGTCACTTTCATGAATGCTGAATGGTTTATTTAATGACTGCAGATACAATAGTTCCCAAAGGTTTCTCGGTGCCGTGGCTAGGCTAGTATCAGTTAGGCCAGGGGTCGGCAACCCGCGGCTCTTTAGTGCCTCTTGAGTGGCTCCAGGAGTCTCTTGAAAAATGTCTGAAAATTGAGTGGGAGGAGCATATTTTATTTTTTGTTTCAATGTGGTTTCTGTAGGAGAGACAACATTCTTAATGTTTTCCTCATGTTTGCTTTGTGATGAGAATACATCAAAGAACAAAAAGAGTCATGTGGAAAATTGGAGCTGACCCCAGTTTGGAGAGAAACAGTGCGATCACAGTTATTCTGGAGAGGATTCATCTCCAAACTTCTACTGAATTTTGTTGCAACACGAGGAACAAAGAAGTACGAAACACCGTTCTGGACATTAGTTCAGCTCCAGCCAACTCCAGCCGTGACGACGTGTGATCGATATGAACCGGCAGTGCTGTGATGCAGGTATGTGAACTCAAAAAGCGGATTTATTTACTGATTTATTTATTGTATTTCTACAATTGCATGAACGCAACAAAAGGAAAGTTAAACTTAAAGCATACAGCAGAGAAGTCACATGGTGCGTCATTCTCTTGCACTACAGTGAAAATACATATAATAATCATGAATGCATATGATGTATTTGTAGCCTATACTCATTTTGATAGTAGCTAATACAGCTTACAGCCGGTGTTGCTTTCATATAAGCCTTATACAAGGCAGTTACGTTTTTGTGGCTCCAGACAGATTTGTTTTTTGTATTTTTGGTCAAATATGGCTCTTTGAACTTTTTGAGTTCAAAAGACCCCTGAGCTAGGCTAATAACAGTTAGGCTAGTAACAGTTAGGCTAGTAACAGTTAGACTAATAACAGTTAGGCTAGTAACAGTTAGGCTAGTAACAGTTAGGCTAGTAACAGTTAGACTAATAACAGTTAGGCTAGTAACAGTTAGGCTAGTAACAGTTAGGCTAGTAACAGTTAGGCTAGTAACAGTTAGGCTAGTAACAGTTAGGCTAGTAACAGTTAGGCTAGTAACAGTTAGACTAATAACAGTTAGGCTAGTAACAGTTAGGCTAGTAACAGTTAGGCTAATAACAGTTAGGCTAGTAACAGTTAGGCTAGTAACAGTTAGGCTAGTAACAGTTAGGCTAGTAACAGTTAGGCTAGTAACAGTTAGGCTAGCAACAGTTAGGCTAGTAACAGTTAGGCTAGTAACAGTTAGGCTAGTAACAGTTAGGCTAGTAACAGTTAGGCTAGTAACAGTTAGGCTAGTAATAGTTAGGCTAGTAACAGTTAGGCTAGTAATCGTTAGACTAGTAACAGTTAGGCTAGTAACAGTTAGGCTAGTAACAGTTAGGCTAGTAACAGTTAGACTAATAACAGTTAGGCTAGTAACAGTTAGGCTAGTAACAGTTAGGCTAGTAACAGTTAGGCTAGTAACAGTTAGGCTAGTAACAGTTAGGCTAGTAACAGTTAGGCTAGTAACAGTTAGACTAATAACAGTTAGGCTAGTAACAGTTAGGCTAGTAACAGTTAGGCTAGTAACAGTTAGGCTAGTAACAGTTAGGCTAGTAACAGTTAGGCTAGTAACAGTTAGGCTAGTAACAGTTAGGCTAGTAACAGTTAGGCTAGTAACAGTTAGGCTAGTAACAGTTAGGCTAGTAACAGTTAGGCTAGTAATCGTTAGACTAGTAACAGTTAGGCTAGCAACAATTAGGCTAGCAACAGTTAGGCTAGTAACAGTTAGGCTAGTAATAGTTAGGCTAGTAACAGTTAGGCTAGTAACAGTTAGGCTAGTAACAGTTAGGCTAGTAACAGTTAGGCTAGTAATCGTTAGACTAGTAACAGTTAGGCTAGTAACAGTTAGGCTAGTAACAGTTAGGCTAGTAATAGTTAGGCTAGTAACAGTTAGGCTTGTAACAGTTAGGCTAGTAACAGTTAGGCTAGTAATCGTTAGACTAGTAACAGTTAGGCTAGCAACAGTTAGGCTAGCAACAGTTAGGCTAGTAACAGTTAGGCTAGTAACAGTTAGGCTAATAACAGTTAGGCTAGAAACAGTTAGGCTAATAACAGTTAGGCTAGTAACAGTTAGGCTAGTAACAGTTAGGCTAGTAATCGTTAGACTAGTAACAGTTAGGCTAGTAACAGTTAGGCTAGTAACAGTTAGGCTAGCAACAGTTAGGCTAGCAACAGTTAGGCTAGTAACAGTTAGTCTAGTAACAGTTAGGCTAGTAACAGTTAGGCTAGAAACAGTTAGGCTAATAACAGTTAGGCTAGTAACAGTTAGGCTAGTAACAGTTAGGCTAGTAACAGTTAGGCTAGTAACAGTTAGACTAGTAACAGTTAGGCTAGTAACAGTTAGGCTAGTAACAGTTAGGCTAGTAACAGTTAGGCTAGAAACAGTTAGGCTAATAACAGTTAGGCTAGTAACAGTTAGGCTAGTAACAGTTAGGCTAGTAACAGTTAGGCTAGTAACAGTTAGGCTAGTAACAGTTAGGCTAGTAACAGTTAGGCTAGTAACAGTTAGGCTAGAAACAGTTAGGCTAATAACAGTTAGGCTAGTAACAGTTAGGCTAGTAACAGTTAGGCTAGTAACAGTTAGGCTAGTAACAGTTAGGCTAGAAACAGTTAGGCTAATAACAGTTAGGCTAGTAACAGTTAGGCTAGTAATCGTTAGACTAGTAACAGTTAGGCTAGTAACAGTTAGGCTAGTAACAGTTAGGCTAGTAACAGTTAGACTAATAACAGTTAGGCTAGTAACAGTTAGGCTAGTAACAGTTAGGCTAGTAACAGTTAGGCTAGTAACAGTTAGGCTAGTAACAGTTAGGCTAGTAACAGTTAGGCTAGTAACAGTTATACTAATAACAGTTAGGCTAGTAACAGTTAGGCTAGTAACAGTTAGGCTAGTAACAGTTAGGCTAGTAACAGTTAGGCTAGTAACAGTTAGGCTAGTAACAGTTAGGCTAGTAACAGTTAGGCTAGTAACAGTTAGGCTAGTAACAGTTAGGCTAGTAACAGTTAGGCTAGTAACAGTTAGGCTAGTAACAGTTAGGCTAGTAATCGTTAGACTAGTAACAGTTAGGCTAGCAACAATTAGGCTAGCAACAGTTAGGCTAGTAACAGTTAGGCTAGTAATAGTTAGGCTAGTAACAGTTAGGCTAGTAACAGTTAGGCTAGTAACAGTTAGGCTAGTAACAGTTAGGCTAGTAATTGTTAGACTAGTAACAGTTAGGCTAGCAACAATTAGGCTAGCAACAGTTAGGCTAGTAACAGTTAGGCTAGTAACAGTTAGGCTAGTAACAGTTAGGCTAGTAACAGTTAGGCTAGTAACAGTTAGGCTAGTAATCGTTAGACTAGTAACAGTTAGGCTAGTAACAGTTAGGCTAGTAACAGTTAGGCTAGCAACAGTTAGGCTAGTAACAGTTAGGCTAGTAACAGTTAGGCTAGTAACAGTTAGGCTAGTAACAGTTAGGCTAGTAACAGTTAGTCTAGTAACAGTTAGGCTAGTAACAGTTAGGCTAGAAACAGTTAGGCTAATAACAGTTAGGCTAGTAACAGTTAGGCTAGTAACAGTTAGGCTAGTAACAGTTAGACTAGTAACAGTTAGGCTAGTAACAGTTAGGCTAGTAACAGTTAGGCTAGAAACAGTTAGGCTAATAACAGTTAGGCTAGTAACAGTTAGGCTAGTAACAGTTAGGCTAGTAACAGTTAGGCTAGTAACAGTTAGGCTAGTAACAGTTAGGCTAGTAACAGTTAGGCTAGTAACAGTTAGGCTAGAAACAGTTAGGCTAATAACAGTTAGGCTAGTAACAGTTAGGCTAGTAACAGTTAGGCTAGTAACAGTTAGGCTAGTAACAGTTAGACTAGTAACAGTTAGGCTAGTAACAGTTAGGCTAGTAACAGTTAGGCTAGAAACAGTTAGGCTAATAACAGTTAGGCTAGTAACAGTTAGACTAATAACAGTTAGGCTAGTAACAGTTAGGCTAGTAACAGTTAGGCTAGTAACAGTTAGGCTAGAAACAGTTAGGCTAGTAACAGTTAGGTTAGTGACAGTTA